GCGGCAGGTGCACCTGGCCATGGTGCGCTACCATGAGGGCGGCCGCTTCTGTGAGAAGGGCGTGGAGTGGGACCACGAGTCAGCCATCTTCCACCTGGAGCACGCAGCCGACCTGGGCGAGCTGGAGGCCATCGTGGGCCTGGGGCTCATGTGCTGCCAGCTCCCGCACCACATCCTCGCCGATGTCTCTGTGCAGGTGAGGGCTGGCGGGGGTGGGGCAGCAGCTTGGCTGCTCTGTTACTCCCCAGCCTTCCGGGCCTGGGGATGCCTGCCTCCTCCCGGACGGCGTATGGGGGCTCAGATCGGGGCCAGGGGTTCACAGTTAGCTGGAACTGTAGCACTCAGTCAAGCATGGTGCTGCCCTCTGGGAGAGAGGCTGAGGCAGGAGGATGGCATGTTTGAGCAAATGAGTGAGATGCTGTCTCAGAAGAGAAAAAAGATTGTCTGTGATCATGGCATACGCCTGTGACGCTGAGGCGGGAGGGCCACAAGGTCAAGCCCAACTGGACAACGTCATGAGACCCTGTCTAAGAAAGGGGGCTGGGAGGGAAGTCTGGGGGTGCAGCTTACTGCAGAGGCCCTGGGTGTAATCTCTAGCACTACACACACACACACACACACACACACACACACACACACACAATGCAGGATCCCTGTCTCAGAATTTTCAAAATAATTCCAACAGATGGGGAGACGATGGGGGTAAGATCTTGGCTTCCCCTTGACAGTGCTGTGTTCCCCCACCCCCACCCCATGGCCTATATTGGCAGGAGACGGACAAGAATAAAACGAAAGGATTTGACTACTTACTAAAGGCTGCCAAAGCTGGGGACAGACAATCCATGATCCTCGTGGCGCGAGCTTTTGACACCGGTCAGAACCTCAGCCCCAGCAGGTACTGGGGCTGCCACTCAGGCGCAGCTGGTGGGTGACGGGTGGGCCAGCCCTCCCTCGTGTCAAAACAGCTGTGGCTTCCAGTGACCGTAGGCGTGTTAGTTTACCTCCCTGGGCCCAGTGTCTTCATCTGGTGAAGTGGAAATGGTCATAGTCCTGCCTCCAGGGAAGGTGCCGTGACAGGGTTCCCAGAGTCCTCCCGGCACCCGTGAAGCCCATGATAAGTGGAGGCCGTGTTCGCCGGTGTCTGTGAGGATTTCCCTCCAGAGAAACTCGCAAGCTGGTCCCGCACCAGGCTCAGAGGGCTGTTCCTGGCTGCAGGGGAGAAGGTTATCTTGACTGGCGACTCCCCTTTTGTTCTATTCACGTCACATCTCACGCTGAGTGAGCACTCTGCTGTGGTCTAGAGGCTCCTGAAGTGTCCACGCCTTCGTGTATCCACCAGGCTGAGACAGCAGGGCTGGTCCTGTGGTGGGCAGAGAGGAAGGCGGTCCAGCTCCGCTCTGGCTCCTTGACGGGGCCAGAAGACGACTTCGGAAGTCCATGGGCACAGGGTGTTTGGGACACGGAGCTCGTGATGGGGCCTGTGCTTGCCCTCTGCAGCTCCCATGGGACCTGGCTGCCCCGGAGCCTTCTGTGACTTCCAGAAGGGAGGCAGAAGGGTGAGGCGCTAAGTCCCCAGGTTAGGAAGGTCCCTGCTGTGGGACATCAAGAGCTCCTCTCCTTTGCTGAGTCTGGAAGGAAGGTTAGGCCTGTGGCTCTGTCAGGCTTTCGGGCCCAGTGCTGTCACACCGTCCTGATGTGTCCGAGCCTGCGGGGTAACAGCAGTGCTTTGTCCGCTTGGGTGGCATCGTCAGGGTGGGCCTTGCTGTCGCTGGCAGCAGGCCTCATGCCGCCTCCAGTGTGTCTCTGCTCTCCTGCCTCTCAGGAGACTTAGAGCTGCCCTGGCATGGAAGGGAGGTAAAGAAAAGAGTGGGCGTGCAAGCTGGGCGTGGCGGTGCGTGCCTGTGATCCCAGCGCCTGCGAGGCGGGGCAGGAGGCCAGGTCTGCTTGTGTCAGATGAAGTGCAGTGGATGTGGTGCCCGTTGAGCGCCTGCAGAACTGGGGTGGGGAGCCAGGCGCCGAGCATTGGCGTCTGAGGTCTCTGAGCAGTCTAGCTGTGTTTTCTGTTCCTGTCTTTTATCTCCTTTTTATTTGTATTTTAAATGTATGTTGAGTTGTACTTTTAATTTTATTTATAGTGATTGTTTCTTACTGATTTGTCAGCACTCTATATAATAAGGCTGTTAACCCTTAATATGTACTTCCCTTAATTTTTTTTATATCTTTTATTTACTTATTTTTTTGGTGGAACCGGGGATTGAACTCAGGCCTTTGTGCTTGCCAGGGAAGTGCTTATTCCACTGAGCCATCTTTATTTGTGTATTTGGTACAGAGTCTCACTACTCAGACTCCTAGTGATCCTCCTGTCTCAGCCTCCCCAGCATTGGGATTACAGGCATTCAGGAGATTGAACACAGGTCCTTGCACTTGCTAGGCAGGTGCCTAGACCACACAGCTATCCCCCAGCCCTTCCCTTTCAAGGAATTTTTATCAGAGATGCCTACCATAGATAAGGGGCACATATGTCACATGATGACCACTGTTCATTGGGTTTGGGGACGCACTATTTTTGGTCTTTTTTATTGTTTGTTTTTTGAGACAGGGTCCCTTTATGTAGTTCAGGCTGGCGTTGAACTCATTGTATAGCCTGGAACTCATGGTGATCCCCCTGCCTCAGCCTCCCAAGCGCTTGGATCACAGGTATGCACCATCGTGCTCAGCTGACTCACTGGTTTTTGAAAGGTTTTGGTCCTCTCAGAAGTTCTATCTGATGGGGAAGGAGAGGTCGTAGAAAATTCCAAGGCATGGTACCTACCTAACCCTGAGACAATGAGGCAGGAGAAGAGTAGGCCCGTTTCCAGGGAAATTCTCCTTGCCCTTTAGGACTGAGGAGGGTGAAGCTGTCCATTCTGGTCGCTTCTAGTCCAGTGTCACCACCAGAGCTCTTTGGGTGCCTCGCCAATGATTTCCATTTTTAACAAGAAGCTGCCTGAGTCTCATACCCATCGTGTGTATTCATTCACTACTGACTGAGCCCATGCTCCTAGCCAGGCCTTGGGACTGCAGCAGTGAACAGAACTGGCAAGACTGTCATCTTCTTGGCCCTGTGCACAAGTCCCAGGGATTGTCGGAGGGAGGGACGGGAGGGACGTGTGAGCTGAGCCTGGTGTGGATGAGGTAGGGGATATCCGGGGCCAGGGGCCAGTGGGTACAGGGGCGGGGAGCAGGCAGAGCTAGCGAGTGTGTGTGCAACACGACGACCAGGCGCAGGACGGGAGGGCAGAGGCGGGGCAGTGAGGAAGATGGTGTGGGTCGTCCCAGCTGCCGCCGTCCTGCAGTCCAGCACACCATGGCCCTCGCGTCTGCAGCTCGTTCCTGATGCGGGGAAGTAGTTACTCCTGTGGGTTACATCAGCAGACGCAGCCCAGACGTTAGCGCTGAGTGTCTGTTGCCCGAGTGTGGCTTGAACCTGTACCTCCCTTGACAGTTGGCAGCCTGTGTGCTACATAGGGGGAGCTGGAGGGAGAGGGGCCAAGCGATGGAGGGGTGAGACCCAGTCGTGAAGCTGGGGGAGCTGGCGCAGGCCCTGGGCAGAGCAGCCAGGGCTGTGTGGTTGCTGAGAGCCCAGGTGGTTCTGGCGGCCTCTGCAGAGCTGGTCCGCCTCTCCTACCTGCATTGAGAGCAGCGTATGGAGGACCCTGTACTGCTGCTGGTGCCAGCCCAGAGGGTGCAGTGTGCAGTCAAGAAAGGAGTCCTGCAGACCAGAGGCGTGAGAGCCCTAGGCACCAGAGGCCTTGAACCAGAAGGGTGGCCCGCCCTCCGCCACTCCCTGTCACCGTGGTGACGCCCCTCTCTTCCTCTTTTTCCCCTGGCAAGGTGCCGAGACTGGCAGGAGGCATTGCTCTGGTACAGCACGGCCTTGGAGACCACAGACTGCGATGAGGGCGGCGAGTTTGACGGGATGCAGGACGAGCCCCGGCATGCTCTGCTGGCCAGGGAGGCCGAGATGCTGCTGGGGGGCGGCTGCGGCCTGGAGAAGGACCCCCAGCGAGCAGGTGGGGCTGCCACAGGGGAGTGTGATGGGAGGCGTGACAGGGCTTGCCCGAGTTCTCCCTGTAGTGGGACTTGAACCCAGGACCTTCACACTGCGCTCAGTGTCTCTCCCTGTCTGTCTGTCTGTCTCTGTCTCTCTGTCTCTCTGTCTCTTCTCTCTTTCTCTGTCTTCTAAATTTTAACACCAAGTCCTGCGACATTGTCCACTACGTTGCCTCGGCTGGCCTTCCACGTGCAGTCCTCTAAGCCAGAGTGCTGGGATCAAGGTTGTCATCACAACCAACTTAAAAACTATTTTCAAAGCTTGTATCTGCATTGAAAAGATACTTTTCTTGCCATTACTTCCTAAAGAACACAGTGAGGCAAGCCTTCTGCAGAGTGTGTGTTGCATGAACATTATGGGATGTAGAGATGTTGAAAGTGCGTGGTTGGGTGCATGCAGGTTATTTTCAAATACTGCGCTGTTTTGTTTTGGTGCCACGTTGGCTCCTGAAACTCATCCCGCTTGGACCCTATTTGGGGGCCATTCTTTGCATAGAAGAATTGAGCTGCAGCTTTTCTTGTCTTTCTTTCTTTCTTTCTTTTTAATATTTTTGGGGAAGGAAGGGTCTACAGAGTGTTCAGGGTCTCACTACTACATCAGACTCGTAGTGACCTGCCTGTTGACAGGCTCCAAGTGCTGGGATCACAGGTGTGCGCCACCACGCCCGGTCTCAATGGCTGTCTCAGCGCACCCCAGGGCTGGGGGCGGCACGGCAGGCCTGGGAATTGAACACCCAACCCCTGTGTCTGGTTGCAGGTGCTTTAATCCACTGAGCTATTTCGCTGGCCCGAGCTGCAGTTTTTCTTAACATAAAGTTTACCATCTAGCTGGATGTGGTAGTGCACACCTGTAGTCCCAGCACTCATGAGGCTGAAGCAGGAGGATTGTTGAAAGTTCAAGGCCAGCCTAAACTGCATAGCAAGACCCTGCCTCAAAAAGACAAAAAGAAAAATACACATTGCCGTCTTAACGCATGCAGTTTAGAGGACTGAGGTGTTTTCACAGTGGCGCCGCCCAGCAGCACCAAAGAGGCCCTCTTCTGGTCAGCAGTCTCCTGCTCGCCTCCCGCCCCTCGTAATTGCTGCCTTGCTGGCTGTCTCGTAGGCTCTGTGCCATACTTTGTCCATCAGTTGATGGACTAGTTATGTGTATTTTCTCTGTTACACAAATTATTATTCTGCTTGTAGGAATTTAAGACTTAACAAAAATTTGTCTCTATCTTCTGTGTTTCTTTGAGCCAGTCTCACCCTGGTTGGGCTGGCTGGTGCCTCAGCCTCCCAGAGGCTGGGGAGTGCTGGCATGCACCACTGTGCCCGCTAAAATTTTGTGTTAAACCTAAGGCCTCATGTTTGTTGGCAAGTGCTCCGCCCCTGAGCTACGACGCCCCCAGGACCCCAATTTACTTGTGGTCGCTCTAGAGGCTGGGGCGTCCGAGGTGCTGGCCGCTCTGTCGCCAGCAAGCGGCCACCTTCTCCCTGTGTCTTCATGCGACCTGCAGAGTGCTTGCCTTACATGTTCTAGCCCTGATTTCATCCCAACACCCATAAAGAAAAGTTGTTTTTTTAAGAATTAGCCAATAGGGCTGGAGAGATGGCTCAGTGGTCTAAAGCACCTACTTGGAACAAGCTTAGCAAAAGCATCAGGGACCGCGGTGCGATCCCCCAGCACCACATGCCAGCCAGCCCTGCCCCCTGGTGGGCTGAGCTGGCCACACACACACACCACTCTCTCTCTCTCTCTCTCTCACTCTCTCTCTCTCTCTCTCAAGTAAAAAAAAAAAAAAAAAAAAAAGAATTAGCCAATAATGGGGCCAGCCAAATAGCTCAGTGGATTAAAGCACCTGCAAACAGGAACAGGGGCCAGGGGTTCGATCCCCAGGCCTGCTGTGGCAGCCCTGCCCCTGGGGCACGCTGAGAGGCAATGGAGACTGGGCGTGGTGGCGCACGTCTGTAATCCCAGCTCTTGGAAGGCTCTGAACGGTCGGATCACTATGAGACCCCATCTAATAGTGAGACCCTGAACACCCTGTAGATCCTTCCTTAAAATACAGAAAATTAAAAATTAGCCAATAATGAAACAAATCTAGAATTTCCTGTTTGAGATTTCTAAGTCTGGGCGGGAGAGATGGCTCAGTAGAATAAATGCTTGCCTGGAAAGCACAGTGACCTGAGTTCAGTCCTTGGTTCCACCAAAAAAAAAAAAAAAAGATTTCTAAATCCAAAAAGCTGTATAAACCAAAAGTATCTTGCAAGAGTTTTGGTGGCAAAACCTATAACTGAGCTGATACCTAGTCTTTATTCCACGTTCATACATTCCCAGTTCCTTTTGCCAAACTGCCTATCGGTTCTCACTGGCTCAGAATCGCTGCTCATCCCTAAGCCAATCACCGTGGCCACGGACGTGGCTTGCTGTAATTGTCCAAGCCTAAGTCTGGACCAATCAGTCAACGTGGAAAGGAGTGGGGGAGTGCTCTGATTGGTGAAGTGTGATTACGCTCCCTCCCCCAGGTCTTAACTCGCCCCCATTCTCTGGGAGGAGAGAGCCTGGAGTGGTTTGGTTCCTACAGAGATGGCAGGATGCTCTGATGGGAGAGGAGCAGCTGGCAAAGGCCACGGGCACTTACCTCTCTGTGCCCCACTCTGCCCTCTCTTAGGGGACCTGTACACCCAGGCAGCAGAGGCCGCGATGGAAGCCATGAAGGGCCGGCTGGCCAACCGGTACTATGAGAAAGCAGAGGAGGCCTGGGCCTGCGTGGAGGAGTAAGGCCCGGAGAATCCCTGCCAGCGGGTCGGGGCGAAGGGCCAGAAAGGCCGCAGCCTCATTACATTCGGGAGGAGAAAGCATTTTGGGGGTGCTGTAAATCACCTTTTGTATTTCATTTTTGACTCTTGAAAAAATCTTTGCTGCCAGCAGAGATGCTACGGCTGTCACTTCAGACCATATTTGGGGCGGTGGGCTTGATGATGCAGCCTGGTGAGCCCCCAGCTGCAAGTTTCTATCTTGATTTTCTTTCTTGTCGTGAGATGAGAACAAGTACTTTTTGCGCTGGAAGGACAACACTGGGGCGTTGCTCACCAGCTTTCCAGGCTGGACTCACATTTGGGCCCCTGGGAGCCCTAGAGGGGCTAGTTTGTCTCCCGTGGGCGGTGTTTTGGCCTGACAGTACAAAGCCAGCTCCAAGCCTTGGGAGGGTACAGGGCACTCTTGAGTGTGCGATTGTCCAGTACGCGGCCTCTCCACCCCTGGGGAGCGCCTGCGCGCTGGACGTCGTCTCTCTGTACTTCAGTTCCTTCCCACGTGGGGCGCGTGTTCTGGTATACAGCCTAGTTCTAGTTTTGAAGCATGCTTTTTACTGTGGGTTTTGCAGAAGAGGTTTGATTTTCCTGTCACACATGCACTACCTCTAACTCTTGTGTCAGCCCAGGTGCAGGAGGACGCCCAGAGCGCCACATGTCAGGGCGGTGGGCTGGGAGTGTGGGGGCCGTCCTCCCGGCAGACGCACGCTCTGCGCCTTGGGCAGCACCCGCGGGCGACTGCAGCGGCCTGGCCTTCGTGCTCCTCGGCTCTGTCTTCTAAATCGTGAGCCGTAGAATCTGACCTCAGCCCCCGTTCTTGACATTTTCATTCTTGACATTTTCTGCTTGAAACTGTGCTAATTTTCTTTCATTTGCAGCCGGCTGCTTTCAGCAGCAGCCCCTTGAGATTTGTCTAAACAGCTTGAGAAGGCGAGGGCAAGAGCTATAAACACTCATTAATTCCGGCCGTTTCCCCAGGGCCAGGCTATGCTTATCTTTATTCTATGATTTTCTTTTTAAACGGATGTTGGTGTGGTGGAGCACCCCTGTAATCCCAGCACTAGGGAGGCTGAGGCAGGAGAATCACTGAGTTCAAGGCCAGCCTGAACTGCAGAGTGTAACCCTGTCTCAAAAAAAAATTCAGAGGTAATGTTGGTATGATTTAAGTTATTTGAAGTAGCCAAGGAACCAAATTTTTAATGAACCACAAATGCTAGAGCAGCCTCTTTCTTTAAAAATCAAACCCAGGGCCGACCAAATAGCTCAGTGGATTAAAGGGCCTGCAAGCAGGTGTCGGGGCTGGGAGTTTGAACCCCGGCCAGCTGTGCCAGCCCTGCCCCCTGGGGTGCTCTGAGGCAGCAATTGAGACTGGGTGTGGCGGTGCATGCCTGTAATCCCAGCTCTTGGGAGGCTGTAAACAGGCGGATCACTACGTGAGACCCTGAACACCCTGCAGACCCTTACCTAAAATTAAAAAACTAAGAAAGCAGAATACACAAGCCATTCTCTTCATTAAACAGGTCCTTGAGCACTTGCGTACGGAGCTGTGAAGTCAGATTTGTTCAAGCCCTGAGTTTTAAAGTCTGGGGTAGTACAGCCCCCAGGGACAAAACAAGTCAGGTCAAAATCACCCTGAAAGGCCCCTCAGAACACCCAGAAAGGAGTCTTCCCGGTTCGTCTGCGCGGACTCCTCTCAGCCAGTTCTCCTGTACGAGCTGGCTCTAATCACCTTTCTTTTCATCTGCACCACCTGGCTTGGAGCGCATTCTGCCGTCAGGAGGTCGAGACAGCCTGTGCATGCGGCCGCACAAGCGCAGCTTCCTGTGCAGTGCCGAGGCCACATGGAGCCAGGGCTTGCAGGACGCGCGACACTCTTAGCCAGACCCCCGGTCCTCTCAGAGGCAGGTCTTGTCAGACTACCTGGGCTGGCCTTCAACTTGGGGCCACTGCCGTAGCCTCCTGAGCAGCTGGGGTTACAGATGTGCACCACTGCCCGAGGCGGCAAGTGGGGTGCTATAAGTACCCCAGAGAGCAAAGAAGAATCCTGCACAAGGTTGACATCCTTGTGCTTATTCCACCTTCAAAACCCAGTTCTGTGGCTGGAGATACAGCTGCGTGGCACACGTGCCTGCTGGGCTAGTGCAGGATCCTGAGTTCCATTTCTTTCTGTTTGGTCCAGGGTCTCACTTCGCAGCTCTGACTCATAGTGATCCCCCTGTTTTCAGCCTCCCCAGCACGGGAATTACAGGCGTGCACCACCATGCTAGTCTCGGCCAGCTCAGTGCCCCCAGGGGCGGAGCCAGTGCAGCACGTGGTGCCAGGGATCCACGCCTGGTCCCTGTGGTTGCCTAAGCAGCCACTTAGTCCACTGAGCTATCTTGTCGGCCTCCTGAGTTTGATTTCTGATACCAATAAATAAACCCAGTTTTGTGCCTTCTAAAGCAGATCTGGCCGCCTCTTTCTGCAAAGATGAGGCATGCCTAATGATGGTAAAGCAGACCTAGCACATTCTAGCCCAACTCAGGGGACATCAGGACTGTCCCCAAGCATGAGAAGCAGTGCTGATTAGCAGGGCCAGGCTGCTCGGTGCCTTCTCAGCTGGAGACCCCAGGTCTGGCGCTTGGAGGCCCAGCCAGGCCAGGCCTGGAGAGCTGCTGTGGAGGACCCTGGGGAGAGAATCTAAAATGAACCAGACCGTAAGGGCCTGTGCAGTTCCCTGCCAAAGCGTGCCTGAGGCCCCATGTTCAAGTTCGACCCCAGCGCGGTACGTAAGGAAAGAACTCCCTGCTGCAGCACGCAGCACCGCCTGCCGCACCTGCCCGGGGCTCCCCTTCCGCCTGGGCCTGTGCACCCACAGGTTGTTTGCCAAGCAGGTGGGGGCAGGCAGGGAATGAACAGCGTCTGCATGTTCTCTCTGTGCATTTGTGGCTTTTTCTTGTGTTCTGGTCTCTGTGGTAAACGTGTAATCTCCTCCAGGGGACTCTGAGTGGGACCCAGGAAAGTGATTTGAGTTACAGATTTATGTTTGTGTATGTACTGAATTCTGCTTTACCTTTCCAAATAAAATGTTTTTTTTCCTGTCTCATATTTGAATGCCTCCTTGAGGCTGAATACGGGAATCCGGATGGTCGTATTTCTTAAGCAATGGGCAGCTGTGACTCACCTTCACCGAAAGTGTGGGCCCAGTGTAGGCCCATTTGTCATTTTTCAAGAGCTGCTGAAAAAAAAGTTTTGTTTCTATGTGTACTCTCCTGATTTTTTTAACACTTGTAATAAATTCTAATAAAGCCTTCCAGATTTGGCTCCTGTGCTGTCAGTTTGTTCAGATAAAATACACAAACCTCTTTCATTTCTTGATTTCCTCATCCATAAACAAAGAATTATCTTTGTCACTACAAGGCTTTCGGCAGCCTCAGGAAAGATACAAAGTAAAAGTGCTTCTGGGGGGCATTCAACCCCCAAGGAGAGGATGGGACGGGCTTTCCGGGTAGTTCAGGCTGGTTTTGAACTCGCAGCAGTCCCCTTGTCTCAGCCTACCAAGTGCTGGGATTACAGGCATGTGCCGCCATGCTGGCTCAAACTAATATTTTTTTAACTTTAAGAATTCTCAAACCAGGCTGGGTAGCATGTTGCTCTATAAAGCTTCCTTTGGGCCTGGTGTGGTACCCAGAGGAAGCTTGTTCCTGTCTCGTAGTCGAATGCCTCCTGGAGGCTGAATACGGGTATCTTGACGGTCATGTTTCTTAAGAAACGGGCAGCTGTGACTCACCTTCACCGAAAGTATGGGCCCAGCGTAGGGGCACACTCTTGAGGAGACCCCCAGTCTCCCGAGTGCTGGGATGGTAGGACGAGGCCACCCTGGCTGGCTGAACCTTCCTTCGAGAAGTGGCTCCTTGGCTCTGCCTCTCAGGAGCTATTCCTAGGCCCCGCTCCCATTCCCCATTCATTTTCCTCAGTGAATTTTTTTTTACTCTTAGAGTTCATTCTTTGATTTTAGGGAATGTGAACTCGGCATATGGGACCTCTAGCAGGTTGGGGTTCTATTTGTTTCCCCTGTGTCATTGAGAGGTCCTACTCGGGTAATAATCTACGCGGGGAAGGAGACAATACAAATATACTTAGATGAAGTATTGCTCCAGGAGAAGAGAGATGCAGTTAACATACAGGCAGCAAACGTGGTCTGGGGCCAAGCGTGGCAATGTGTGCCTGTAATTGCACACTCGGGGGGCTGTGGCAGGAGGGCTGTTCCGGGGCACTCGGGGCTACGTAGTGAGTTGGGGGCCAGCCCCAATTCTGTATCAAAACCCTTCTGATCATATGGCTGCTGATAAGTTTTGCTACTTATGCAAATGATTACATGATAAACACAACTTAGAACATTTTATTGTTTTATTTTTTCCACTTTATTTTTCCATAATTTTATTGACAGACAAATATCAATGACACAGTTTCAAATCAAATTGGTAGGACAGTTTCAATAATTAACACATTGCATACTCTCTTCCTAGTGGTTATTTGCTGTACAAGATGCAGACATGATATCCTATTTACAAACACTATTACAACAAATCCCTCTTCATTAAGAGAATGTAACTATATATCTATCCTAATCATTTTGAATACATGGATACAAAATGGACATTCATCTGTATCCCCTTTTTTTCATAATTTTATTGATAAACAGCAATGAGACAGTTTCAGATCAAATCTGTAGGACAGTTTCAATAACACACTGCATATATTCTTCTTAGTGGTTAATTGCTGTAAAAGATGCAGACTTGAGATCCTATTTACAAACACCATTAGAACAAATCATTCTATTCATTAAGAGAATGTAATTATATATCTATCCCAACCACTTTGAATACACAGATACAAAATGGACATTCATCTGTATACCCCTTTTTTTCTAAGTTCCGTTATTGAATATTATAGGTGTGTAAACTCAGCAAAATATTCTAAAAGAGTCCAGTAGCCCATAAT